TTTCACAGTGATCACAGGATACGATGCTACACTTCTAAAGGTTGTCCTCAATTTGCAACCATTTATTCAGTCACCCCAGGCCTCTTCCATCCCCTGAGGCATCCCATGCTCCAGAATGGGGAGAGCAGTGGGGAGAGCTGGGATTGCAAGGGTGCCTTGCTTAACAAGAACAACTTAATGACTGTAATTCTGGGTTCAATTGTGGTTGTAAGTCAAGAACTATCTGTATACTCAAATCTGACTGGTTGACCAGAGGTGGTCCACGGAGCCGTGAACAACTTTAAGCAGCTAAATAAACCAATAAACAAAATGGATATTCATCAACTACCTCAAACTCTTCTGTACAAGGATTATGTTGTGATCTTTCTTCTAGATCCATTAACACAACTGACATTCCTCTTCCAATGTTAAATCCACATTAAAGGAATTTATACCAACAAATGTCTATTTTGTGGTTTCACAGCTGTAAAAGTACTTAAATTCAGCTGTTATAATTAAGTAAGTTAGATATTATGTCCTAATTTTATCTGATTGCTGGGATTTGCAATCTGCAAGACTTTGCATATGTGCCTGGACCTCGCCCTGTTTAACTGCCATGGAGGAAAGGTACCTATAAGTATCAAGCGACTATTGTGGATGGAGTAAACATTAATGTCTCTGAGACCAATTCATCTCACAGATGTTCTCTTGCTCGCAATTCTACTGAAAGCATCGTTATGTCTGAGAAGGCTGCCCTTCATTTCTTCCATGCTTTAAGTAATATAGCTTAAACAAAATACACTGCATTAATCTAGTTATTCTATTTATCTTCTGTACAGTGATGGGCCTATAATCTTCTGCGGTGTAATAAATGGCTTGCAAAATGTTAACATAATATGATGAGAAATCCAAGGGTGTAAGTTGTCTTATTCAATCACAGAATTACTACAGAAGCAATATTAAAGGGGTAGAGCATGTTTTTCACATCCTGCACTGTCCAGGCTGACAACTTCTCATATTTTATCTAAAATAAGAAAGTTGATGGCTATATAATCGCTTGAGATGTTCCTTCCTTTGTTTCGTCCCACTATACTTAATGCAACACATTCCAATTTGGACTTAGTGTCACGGAATACTCTGAAGGATAATACAACATAATTTCAAATGATAAGGCAAAGGCAAGCAACCTAATCCAGTGACACTTTAGAGATACTTTATTTTCATGCATTTTCTCTGGCTTAGGGGAATTCCCCATTCTTTTTAAGACAGTGACAAGTCTGTGCACCCACACCCACTTTCAGGCTGCAAGTTGCTAAAAATAAGTGTATCAGATATGCATCAAGTAGACACTGAGCAATTTTTTGCCAGTCTTTCACTGAAAATCTTCAATGGCATATTTCCCCTAAGCAAATAACTTCTTATCCATCTTTTGCTATTATAAAACCACATTCCTGTTACAGATGATGAGTGAAGAATTGTAACTCTCCCTAAATTTTCCTGTGTCATTAATTGTGCAGGATTAACAAGGTTTAAATTTCCCTCAGATATCAGCAGTCATACCCTCAACATTTTCAACAACGCTAAACAATAAAAAACAATTGAATGATGCATTTGATTGAATTATACTCCCCACCCCCAAATGATAACTTTCTTTAGCTAAAAAATCATTGCATGAACGGAGACATTCATTAACAGTTATGTGCAATGCAACTGAGGGTGGCACTTTAGAGTCTTGTGGCAATTTTGAAATGAATTACATAGTGTGGCACGAAGTTTTGTGTGCAGAATTCACAAGGTACACTTGCATTTGCAGAATATCTGCAATTTGATTGTACGTACTGGTATATCCCAAACATTGCAAAATCTCAAAGATGTTGATTATGAACAATTCTTGTATAGTCACAAGCTGTTTTGGTGTTCATAACACTACCATAAAGGACAGAGTCTATGGCAGTGGGCAGCTTTGATAAATTTAAATTGATTACTAGATAATCTTTGACACATTGGTCTTAGCAGATTCCTCAATGCCTTCAACCATGACAGATCTTATAATATACTGCCTTCACTGGAAAAGTTGGTATGCGTTCACAATGCTGTGAAAATAGCCCATATTGAACTGTACAGTGCATTCAAACATCCGCACAGATAAAGGTTTTATGTGATTTTATGTCACAGTTTCATGATAATTTCTATATCATAAAATATTTTATGCCAACTTTCAATTCCACATGAGTCAAGAGTCTCCAATTTTGATCACACTCTGTAAGCTAGCTCATTTGAAGGTATCTTGATTCAAAAACTGTTGCCTTATGAGGCACAGTTTTTCCCAATTAAACATGAGATCTAGGAGTATATAGATTGTTACATATAACAATGCGGAATCAGAGCTACCAGTTCTAGCTGTATATAATGTGAATGTATAGTCACTTCGATTTCGCGGTACTGCATTGTTTTAAATGTAAAAATAATAAAAATATATTTTAAAAAAAGAGCTACCGGTTCTTTAGTTGATGTTAGCCTTCATGTGCACTGAGTTCTTTCCAAGAATCGAAGATGTTGTACTGCAACGGCACCCATCCTTTTGGGCACCAGGGACCGGTTCCACGGAGAGGGGTTTTCCTGTGGACCGGAGGGGATGTGGTTTTGCATGCTGCCTGCATCCCATGGGTGGGGCTTCACTTATTTAAGCAGCCTGGTTTCTGGCATGCTGCAGACTGGTACTGATCCATAGTCAGGGGATTGGGGATGCCTATTGCACCCCTTATGGCATCATATTATGTGCTGATCCAAGCAATGCAACCTTTTGTAATGGATAGATGGAAATTTTTGTCCATGCACAGATTTTTTAAGTACTGTCTAAGATTTTTCAATATTTCATTAGCAATTTTACATTATAGCCTATTATCAGTAGGTACTCTGGGCAGTGGAATAGTACATCACAGTAAATATATGTTGTAAAGTGCTTATTCTTAACACCTTGAGAAACATGCCATAGCATTGTCTCTAGTTACAGTTGCTATTTTTAATAAATATTTTTTATCTATTATCTATTTTTAGATAATGCATTTTGGAATATTAGTCAGCTGTGCTGGGGAAAAAATTGTTTGTAGGCAAGATATTTATTTTCAAATAAACAAGTGTGGGCATTACCAGCTCCATATCGCAATGTTGAGCAGCCTCTTATCAAGGGCTTCTTCAACTCAAGTAAACCTGTCATCAGGCTTAAAATTACAAAATGATTTGTTTTGTCTGTGAGTAAAGTTGTTAGATACTAAAACAATTACCCTACCTGCTCTTTTAGGCCGGTGGGCACATTTGTACAGCAATCATGAGATCATCTCATAGTCACTCACCCAAAATGGTGCCAGTGCAAAATCTCTTTTGTCGGGAGGCAAACTAGTAGGGCTGTTCCCCATCAACACGTCTAGGCTCCCAAGCTATCTTCTACCACTTTTTCCTTCTATCCCTTTTCCAGGTGCTGAGTCATGTTTCCATGCGCCCACATGCAAACTGGCAGTAGTGCCTCCTGGAACCCACTCATGCTGTACAGGGCAAGTTCACTGGCACTCATAAGCTCCCAGTTGATGCTGCAGGTTCCCAGCAATTTTTTTTCTTAGATGAGATCATTTCCCCAAATATTTCTGGGGAATAGATCTGATTATTTACTCCTTTCCATTTGGTAGCAAAGAAGAACATCCAGAACTGGAGATTAGGTTAGGACTGGAGCCACTGCTGGTGAAAAATCAGCACAGTGCATCTTCTGGTATGCCTTAAAACAGCATCCGCTTGCGCTTGCGTATCTACAATATCGTGGCCACTGCATTTCTTTGGAAATCAACTCAGTACAAACTGGATGAGCAGGAACGTCTCTTTTGCCTCCAGAGCACCATGATCTGCTGCTTTTCTTTCCCTCTTTCAGAAACCTTTAAGCAGCCTTTTCATTGATATGGTGTCCAGATGTTTTAGACCAGGGTGTTTTTCAAACTTGCCAAGTATAAAATGCTTGGACTTCAACTTCCAGAATTCCCCGGCAAGCCATGTTCCAGGTGTTTCATTCCAGATCATTTGTCCCCAAAACACCTTATACTATATTATGATCGTCATAACTGAGCTGGGAATTCTAGGAAATACAGCCCAATGTACTGTCTGTAGGGGGATCCAGGAGGATTTTGTGCAAAAGGTGGCTTGAAACTCAACATTAACAAAACTGAGAACATGGCATCCAGCCCTCTCAGTTCCTGGCAAATAGATGGGGGAGAAATGGAGGTAGTGACAGATTTTATTTTCTTGGTCTCCAAGATCCCCGCAGATGGGGACTGCAACCAAAAAATTAAAAGACATTTGCTCCTGGGGAGGAAAGCTATGGCAAATCTAGACAGCATTCTAAAAAGCAGAAACATCACTGCCAACAAAAGTGTGTATAGTCAAGGCTATGGTTTTTCCAGTTACAATGTATGGCTGTGAAAGTTGGATCATAAGAAAGGATGGGTGCCAAAGAAATGAGGCCTTTGAACTACGGTGCTGGAGAAGACTCCTACGAGTCCCTTGGACTGCAAGACGATCAAACTG